GAATCTCTGCGCAACATAAAACGTACGACTATTCGGTACAATAGTCTGAAAATCAGACTATTACTTACTGGCTCTATAGCTCTTAAGTCGATTCGACAACTAATAGTCTTTATTTTCCCACTTAAAGACATTTTCAGGCCCCCCTTTTTTAGGGTAGTTCTAAATTAGTATTGTCTTTCAAATACCGTTTGAATTTAACCTTTTCATTTTTTGGCCAGCAAATGGGACATAGTACCTTTAAAGGCGCAATATTGGATTATTGTTTACAATAGTGTGTTCTTACCAGTGGGGGTTAAGTTTGCGTTGTTTGTGTCCTGGCCGTCTATTAGGTTAAATGGAGAATATTTTACATTTTCTTTTTATGTTTGGGGTGAGTTTCGTAGAAACGTTGCTTTGTTCATGCATCCTTTGTTATGCGCCATCATGTTGTGTGGTCATAATTATAAACCATAAAAGTACAACGCTTAAATTGTTCTCCTAATGAACACAAATCATAAAGACATTCAAGTAGACATGACGTCTAGGGGATACGTCGTCGGACTGTTGAACACAGAGTTCGCGGTTCGAGTCCCGCCCAATGTCCTTTAGCAAGACATCTCTCTACATTTGCCACATTCCACCCATGTGTTAAATGGGTACCGGTAGGATATCGGTAGCCTATAGCAGAGCTGGGTAATATTATGTGCCTCCAGCACCTTGAATGGTGCATAATTATGTGCGCTATAGAAATATTTAATAGTATAGTATTATTAAGAAATCAACTCATGGGCAATTCGAATTCCATATTGTGTATCCCATAGAAATAATGTTCAGATTACGTAATGTGTTATGTTTGCACTTTTCGACGGGTGAGGAGAAGGCTAATTAATTTGCCTATAGGGTTAATTTTTCGAAAGGTTTTGCGATGATCCTTACGGTGAAGCTCAGAGAAAGTGTCATCACCCAGACGCGGATCCCCCCTGGCCTTTTTTTTTTTAAGACGATTTTTAAAAAATAATTTTTATTATGTAATTTTTATATTTTAATTTAGTGCTCACACTACCCCCCCCCCCCACCCCCTCCCCCACTGAGGTAAAATAACGATCTGCGCGATATGCAAATTTCCGGGAAAAAAATGTAGTACTCACTGAGCGAAATATCGGGCGGTGCGATGTTCAATTTTCAGGCTCCCCCCCCCCCCCCCCTATTGCCAAATCCTGGATCCGCCACTGTCATCACCTCTTATCAATATCGAGGAGGAATATCAAAATTTTCTCGGGACATGATGACATAATGATGGAAGGAAGATAATTGTTTAAATCGTGAAAGTCTGTTCACGCTTCAAGGTTCAAGCTTTCCGATAAATTTTAATTTGTCTAATTACGCTACTCATTATATTATTAGTGGGATTTTTTATTATTTTGTTTACTACAACTAATTATCGCCTTATCTGATATAATTAATTTTCAAGGCAATATCATCTACAATGATAATCTTGCATGTAGAATTATTTATATCCCACCAAATCAATTCGTATACATTGTCAGCTGCATGATATTACCCTCATTTATGTTTTTTTTTTTTTGGCTGTTTGAGAGATTGAAGGAAAAAAAAGGGTTCCTTTTTAAAAGAATCAAAAGACAATGTATCGGTTAAATTATAGACCTACTAAATTTCTTGAGCCAGCAAAATAAAATTTTCATTTGTTAGTAATTTCAAAATATGATCTCATTAAAGAAAGCCAGAATAGAATAATCAGTATATCCGTATACCTAATAAGTGAGCAAAGCAAAATAATATCGGAAAGAAATAACAAATCTGATCAAACGTTTTGAAAATCCCAAAACACTCAATATTTCACAGAAGAAAAAAAATGGCTAAGCTCTCTTAGGGATTTATGGAATAATTACCTTTAAATATCTAACTAGCAACAGACCGTGTACAGGCATACTAAATGATGCATTCAGCCTTACCGCTGTATATTGGCGCTAGACGTTACGGCTCATGACACCACTCGCCTTCCCCGAGTCTTTCATATATAAATGCATAATTATGTTAAAACGTTTCTATCATACTGAAAGGTTTAAGTGTCTCAATCAAATGAATTCCATTTTATACTATATTGCGTTTACATTTTGTTAAACGCTTGTCCATTGAGTCAATTCAATATAGTGTATCAATTTAATTTCTTTCATTATCTATCATAATGTTGTTATATAAATACGAGTACTTTAAGTCGCAAATGTTTTATTTCATAATATGCCAGTAAGGATAAACGCTTTTGTTAAAACGTATGCTTTGTATTTATTCTACTTCTTTCATGTTGCATCTGTCATGTTTGCCATCATTTTAAATAAAATTAGTAGTATATAATATTATAGCAACCGCATCATGCTTTGCTTGTGTGGACACAAGCTTATGTTAGACGATTAAAATATTGTGGTATTAATTCATTTTTTTCATTACGCATCTGACAAAATGTTTGCACATTCTGAAAGATATCTATGGTTAACCAAATCGTACAATAGTCGGGTTTTTCTTTCAAAATCATAGTCGTTTTTATACCTTGTCAAATTATTCTCACATTGTTGTATTCAAGAAAAAATCAGCAATATCTCTTTTTATGCATAGCTGCTACCTCTCTATTTCCATCTTACATACTTAGCCCATATGTTTGCTGCAATAAATTTCCATTACAAAACACATCACATGCGGTTTTTTGCAATTCAGTCCTCAGTCAAGTGTACTTTGTCGCAATCAGCCCCGCACACTTGAAAACCACGCCAACATCATTTACTTACCAAATAAGCATTGCAGATTGGTTTAAACATGGACCCTATACCACAAATGGTTTAAAGGCAGAATCTCGCATTTAAAGTGAAATTAATCTTGTTGAAACGTGCATAATATCACCATAAGATGCTTGAAATAGAAGATTGCTCAGCTTCAAGTAATGTGATTATCATTTATTCTATTTCCGATAATATTATATTCCCTCATTTTGTATTATAAAAATATGCGTATAATTATGACTGAAATTAATCATAGTTGAACATATTCCCTTTTTTCTTTCTTTCATGAATTAGATTCTGCACGATTGTCCCTGAAATGATGTGACACGATTAAACCTACAAGGTCAGAAGACACAACTGAACCCTGTTTCATAAATCTTTTTATCAGTAACAAGCTACAATAATGAATTGTTATAAGCTGCTGAAATCGTGGCATTTGTCTGGCTGAGAGCCATTTGACAGGCGCCTGGTTAGAATATTTTTTTCTGGGATCTTTCTTCTCTTTACTTAAACACGTATTCTGACTGATCAAATGTAATTTTTGATGAAATATATTGAAATTGGCAAAATGTATAATTTTGTATTCTTTAAACTAAATCACTGGGACGATCAACTGTCTGTGATGGGGGCTCTATCTCTAATCCATTTTTACCGCACGTCAAAATCACATTGAAGTCAACATGGAACAAAATTAATGTTCATTTTTTATATGATGTAGACATAACTTGCGTAGTGATATAACAGCACTGAGCCGGCATGTCATGCAGAGAGAGAGAGAGAGAGAGGCACGGGTAAAGTGAATCTAACATAGGAAATTATATTATTCCTATGCAGTGAAGAAGGTTTTTCTCATGAAAAATGCATGAGAAAGAAGTCACAATACACCCCAGTCAACCCGCCAAACCAATTCTACCCTGACTCCACACCGACAGGTTCTTTGCCATTGACAGAAAAGACCGGTTTTACTAACATATTTCAAATGTTGGATGGTTCTTTCCTGGGGACCTACAGTAACAAGTTATTCCATTAACCTGTTATCAATGAATGGAATACAATACTTGGAATCCAGTCTACATACATAAGTTGTTGCTATGTCAGGTAAGCCTCGGGTAAGCCTTCAAGTTGTCAAGAACAACCTTTGTTTTACCTTTGCATAATTTTGTTCCGTCTGTCGGTCTGGTGTCGGCCTAGTCGGTGTGACTGAGCAATCAGGACTCATTCATTTCGAACGCTGACAATAATTCATTGGAAGAGGCACGACCATTGAAGCATTATAATGTCGGTTACTATGTGTTGTAATAACAATCACGATTGTAGCTCACAGATAGAATATTCTGAATCTGAATCTACAACATATCAGACACTATGAACATGACTGACAAAGAAAGCGGACAAAATATACAGTTCCTCAGGTAGACAAAGGAACATCCCTTCACTGCTATTATGTAAAAATGTGTAGAACAGGTGTCACATGCATATTCACCTTTTTACATAATAGCAGTGAAGGGATGTTCCTTTGTCTACTTGAGGAACTGTATATTTTGTCCGCTTTCTTTGTCGGTCATATTCACAGTGAGATATCAAAGCTTTTAAAACCACATGTTCCTCCCATTGATGAGTCTGCACAGCTGAAATCAATTAAACATGATCCTTTTCCGATTGTTCATTGCTGATTCTTATTCCAATTTTTCATAATACCCTCAATGTCAGAGAGTTAAAAAAAACTGAATAATGCCAATAGAAACATAAAGCTTTCGTTGATAAGCTTGGCCCCGTTGCATAAAACTTACCATTGATGGTAACTTTGCCAACAATAGAAAATACCATGGTAACCGGGCTCAACAGCCAAACAAATCAAGGTTTCCATGATATTTACCATTGATGGCAAATATACCATCAATGATATAAGTTTTTGTGCAACGGGGTCAAGTTTATGTTAATTTGACCTGCCCTTTATAATTGAAGGAAAAGCTGTGATATATTCACCATTCTACACTTCGCAGAAAAACAGATATATGGGCAATAATATTGATAGCTTTCATTACAATAACCCTTAACCTAGAAAAACGCCTTAGAAGCTTATTGAATACGGGCCCATGTTCCTGCAGTGGTGCAAGTACGGTGGTGTCGCATGCTGGGATTCGAACCAGAGGGTGCAAAACGCAGTGCTCAATGAAAACCTCGCTATACCTCTAACTTTATGAATGGTTGTAGATTATTTTCTCTTACCTTGTTTGAATTCCATCTTTCTGTGGTACACGCAAATGCATCATGGGAACCGTCCCAGTCAATGGTCAAATTGGTCTGCAAAGACAGAAATCATCGAAGTTTTAAGACTACGAGCAGAAACATTTGTGATACGGCATAATAGCACACGAGACAGAATCATTGAAAAATAGTTTTTAAGACTTGTTTTTATTCTGAAAAAGAAGAAGGCTCTCATGTTTTACAGCTCTGTTAAGTTCAACCTTCCTGATTATGATGTTTAAGGTGGGGAACCTAAAATTATTTTGTATTATGTTTGTTTATGAAATTTTCCCTCGAATATTATTGTTATAAAGACATCTTTAATGTAATGTTTACATACAAAAAGTAAAAAAGTGCACCATTCGCAAATGAAACTCGCGCTTAAACTGCATGTGTGTTATTTTAATAGTGAGAATTAGAAAGGGATGCCGAGAGGCAAATAATGCCCTGTGCCCGCTTCATTTTTTATTCACAATAAGTAACAATAATAATTTCTTGTGTAGCGCTCATGCCTGTCAAACTGTCAATAAACAATATAACATTTTTATCTCTCTAGGCTTGGGGGAAAAGAGTGGGTAAAATGCAGAAGAGGTGAAGTGTAAAGAATTAAGGAGAGGTGAAAAGGGAGAAGGGGGAGGAGGAGGAGAAAGAGAAGTGGGATGGGAAGGAGGCGGAGGAGAAGGCGGAGGAGAAGGCAGAGGGAAAGTGTTTCGTCTACTTGATATGGAAGAAAGGAGGGGAAGAAGGAGATGAAGAGAGGGGGGGGGGAGAGAAAGGCGAGAAGAAGGGAGAGAAAACAGGGGCGGTTCTGAAAGCTCACTTAACTTTCCTCTAACTTTCCTTTTAAATCTTCATTCATTGAGCGCTCATGCAGTTGAAACGCCGACAATCATCCTACGTTGAGCAATGGGGAGAAGAAGTGGGAAAGATGAGGTGAAGGAAAGAAATAATATGAAGAAGCGGAGGAAGAGGAGAAGAAGAAGAAGAAGAGAGGAAGAAAAAGAAGAAGAATGGGGTAGAAGAAGGAGAGAAGGAGGAGGGGAGGATTAGGAAGAGGGACGCATAATAATTGTTACCTTTCCATCGTCACACTTGGCGTTTGAGACTCCCATGGGTATTCCACCATGTTCATCCTGCCCGGGTGCCAGTGTTCCACTGTAACTCAAAAACGGAGGCAGAGTTACCGTTGCTAAGGTAACATCTGCCAGGAGGATACTGCTAAGTGCGAAAAGAAGGAGGAGCGAGATGTTCGAGATAAATCGCATGTCGCTGGCCCATTCAGTTGATAAGCTCATCTGTATGAAAAACACAGCATCTTATATGTATAAATTCAATCACCATGACTGCGCTACATGTACGTAACAATGAAATCACGTAAATACAGAATCAACACCGTACGCGCAATGAAGTTATTATGACGTCACATAATAAAGACCATTATGCGCGCGCATTCAAGTTTTTATGACATCATAAAATAAACACCACGCGCACATTCACAATGCGCACTGGAATAATTGTGACATCATCATACTAATAAAGACCAGCCTAGCCGCGCATACAATTTATTGTGACGTCATAGAATACACGCCGTATGCGCTTTGCAGTTACCCTAACAATTATAGATGACAACAGAATATCTGTCTTTCAATCAATGAGAGATTTTTTTTCTACAATAACAGACATAATTATAAGCCAAAATATTTGGGTAATTATACATTTGATTTTCAAATGTCGGGCAATAAATATCATGGATATGTCACCAAACATCACTTTTCTTACAGGCCTCGAGGGAAAACAAATTGGTATGTTTTTATTATTATTTTTTTATTACTTATTTTGGCAGAATCATCTTTAAAGGCATTCCATGATTATTCTAAGCCATTCTTTTAAGCAACCACAAAGCTCGGAGCTCGAATCCACGCCGCATCCAAACGTCATTTTTGCAAGACATCATAACCTACATTCGACCCAGGTGTAGTAGGTCTTTACCTGGTATGATTTATTCCCGTAATGCACGGATGCCGGTTCTCAAACCGAGGGAATGATATCCAAAGTTTTTTGGAAGCGCATAGAGACGTTATGTTGACATACATTATACAAAAACGTGAAGTTATTATAATCATTATTATTATTATCATTACTGTTATGCTTTCTAATCCATAATCGGGATTTAAAAAACCTTTCTTAATATATTTCATCAAAATATAAGCAAGAATATGAAAGTCTTTAAGTTCCATTATCTCACTTGTCTTCATCTTATAATGCAAGTGAATTCACTATAATAGATTTCAAACGTTACTTCTGCGCAAGTTCGAATTTTATTTCTTGCTTTTAATTTTGATTTATTTAGGGGATACAATATGTGCATAGTGATGCGGTTTTTCATTCACAGCAATAAACTCCGCCTATAGATATCATAGATTGTCTTATTCAGATTATGCATATCTACATGTACATTCAAGCGTCATTTTGTCGCATAAAGTAGGTCTTGCTTGGTCTGGCAAGCTATGAAAAAAAACATTATACAAAATAAATATGTTTACAAAAAGTCGAATACCAAATATTGTGCATAAATAAAATTAGACAGACATATTCAATCTATATTGTTCAAGATATTTTAAAAACGAGGAAATCAAAGCAAATTCAGCTTATCGGTATAAACAAAAAGGAGGCGCGATAGCTCAGTCGGTAGAGCAGTGGTCTCGTAATCCGATGACCGGGTTCGAAACCAAGTCGATGCACTATAGTGTCCTTTGGTAAGGCATTAATCCTTATTACCAGGTCCCTCGGAGAGGACCTAAAGCCGTCAAACGCCTGGTTGCTTAATAAAAGCATTTATGCTTTCATAGCAGTCAGGTAAAATAACCACCACCACCATATAAAAATGGTTAAACACAATAGTTAAAACAAGGGGGGGGGGAGCTAGTCCGTGAAGATGTACATTTCAATAATGCTTATAATGTATACAAGCATACCGGTGTAATTCACAAATATTGCAATAATAATTGATGGGTTTCCGCCACTTCATACCGACGTCTGATCTATGCGATCTACTTCTAATGATTACAAACGATCGTTCGGAAGTGCGAGTTCATGACATTTGCCATTTCATTCATTCTATTAAACCGTTTATCAGACTATTTATTGTATACATCTCTACCTATCAGCGACGATCTATTAATTTCGCCTGTTACATGTCCTTCTATCTGAAAAGTGGGAATGCAAAGTGCATTAATGTTCCTAGATCGGACGGAACATCATAGCTTACCCATGTATGCAATTTACAACCTGACTATTGAAATACAATTATTCGTAGCAGGTTGATGACATAATTCGTCACGAGGCACTGAACAAAGTACATTAAATTGTTGCTAGGTAGGGCAAACACTATGGCTTGTCTTACCTAACAACAAATTATATGCAATACACATTCTGACTATTGAAATACAATTAATCGTAGAAGGTGAATGAAATAATTTGTAACGAGGCACTGAACAAAATTGTTTGCTTTAAATTTGATTACATTACGGAAATGGCCTATTTGATTACATCACGAAAATGCGTATTCTTGTAAAGCTCTTTATCATAAAATATGCTACGCAAGTAAGATTCCAGCTCTTATTCTTCCGCCTGTAGATCTCTTATCCTCGAAGGTATTGGGTTATGAAGTATGCATTACATAGAATACATCTGACCAGGCATCAGCTGGGCTGCTCTTACAGCTGTAGACCAAATGTTTATGTTTTGAAAATTCAGGAAACGAAAGATCTATTTTCGAATATATAAGGGTTCCATGGAAAGTCCTTGAAGCGAAGGATATAAAATTAATAATTAGCGATATGCCAACATGCATGTTTAAAAATATTTGTAAAAATAGTCTATATTTTCAATAAAATAAACATTTTAAAAAAATCATACAGACATGAATACGAAAAGGAGGCTTACCTCGAAATAGCTTGGGAAATTGGAATGCATGACTTTGTGCCTTTAAAACATATCAAGTCAAAGATTAAGGATAAAAACTTACCTGAGAAAGTAAATCGTCCGAATGTACTAACGATGGGATCAACTGACTGAATATCTCAGATAATATGCAATAAATCGTCTTTTAATTTGAAATCACAACCGCGGCAAACCGAAATGGGATGCGATCGATGCAAAGTCAGTGAGCATATGCTTGCCTTAAACAGAGCTGTCATTTGACACAATGCAAGTATCGCATCTCTGGCGAATCGCCCTGGGTTAACAAGGCAATACGGCACAGAACAATGCGGGCGGCGTAATCAGATGAATGTCGTAAATGCGAGCTTTACGCCTTGTGCTCGATGTCGCCTCTCTCGGGTATCAATCAACGCGCGAGGAGAGTTGTAAAAAAAAAAAAAAGAGTGCATTGCACGCCACGGATCGGAATTTGTCATGCTTTTTCGTACAGTTTACGCGGACCGTTTACGATGTGCGGAGTGTAGGTGGCGCCGTGCTTGACGGAGTTGATGAAATATCAACTATGGGCTGGTTATGAAATTTGAAGTTTTCTGAGGTTTTCTGGATATGAAAATGTTTCATTGTGAATCATGAAGAGCAAATGGAATTTGAGTTGAGCAAAATTGTGACTCGATAGGGGGACCGGGGGCGGGGGCGGGGGCGGGGTTGGCACTTTCGGTCCGTGCCCCTTTAAAACCCAACCCGGAATAAAAGAGACGTGGCCCTAATTGTGTTCCTATATCCCTCTTAAAATCATTTGACCTCAAAGCTACCTGGAAAAGAAAAAAAAATTCTGTTCAGAATAAAGTAGTGCCCCATTTTCTTAATATTACAAAATCAATGGCCCGCCCTTGCATTACAGTTCCTTTTCCTCTTAGTTCTTTTAAAGGCATACTGTTCCTCCTAACCGTTATTGATCATCCGCGTCTCTATCCCTGCCCCCCCCCCCCCCACCCCCACCCCTCCCTCTCTCTCCTCTCTCTAGATTTGGCTAAAACTTTTTTGGTCGGTTTGTCTAATTTTTCTGCTTCTATTTTTGGAGTGGAGTAGGCCTTTAACACATACGCAAACACAGAAATTCTCTCTAACCATAATTAATGTCTCTATCAGCCCCTGCTTCCCCAGCACCAACCTAACTTGACGAATCTAACTGACAATGAGATACTTCTAGAACTTGAAAAAATGACCAGATTCCCATGCCATTAGACGTATAATAGTGTCACAAGTCATCATTTTGGAGTTTAAATTGTTCACAATTTCCTTAATGAAGCAGGTGCAGTACTTAGATTTTGTGTGATTCACGATACTAACCTTTTAAGGTTCAAAATTGTGTGATTTTAACCGTTGCTAGATCTTAAAGGTAATACAAAGTTTTGGTATGGGGTCATGAATTTGGTTCAAATGAACATATTGGAAGCATATGCGATCCTACAATATTCAGCGATCGTCGTCGCGGTCGAAATCGAGTCTTAAGTTGTGAAATTATAAATAATAATCACTTTATGTTGTATAGCTCCCTCTCAAGGTCAAGATATTAATTAAGCTATAAAACAATGTTTCTTGACTAATATCGACCGACTAGCTATTCCCGTTCACAAATTATATACCACAACTACATATTCTGAGATTTTCATGGTCGCAGCTACCATAGTACAGCCGTAGGAGCTATTTGAAATTTATCAAAATTTACCGGGAGCACCGGTAAATCTTTATATTCAATTTTTCTCGAAAACAGAAGCGTTTTAGGGGCTAAAATTTATAGTGCTTTTATTACATTCACAGGGGCATCCAAAAATTTCAAAATTGTAAAGAATCACTAACCACCCATTTTTCAAAATTTCCCAAAACTTTGTAATACCTTTAATATGATCATTATTCTAAAAATCAGATCACACTTTAACCATCTTTAAACTAGTTATAAACTAAGGAATTTGTCTATTGCATTCTTTTTTTTAAATTCACCACATTACACGCACTGCCCTTCTTCCTTAAAATCTCTTTCACTTCACGTTTTGTTTTCAATCTTTTCTATTTTCATCAACGAAGTTTCAGTCTTCTAATTCTAAGTTAGTACACGTAATAATTTGAGGATTATGGGAGGATTCATACATTCATCACCTAGCAAAGTATGCAGGTAGATTCTCGGGTCAACTGCCCGTAAGCTCGAGGTCTCTTTATTATTAATTTCCTCACTTCCGTTCTGCCTCCTCAGTAGCACACAGAGGATTTACGTAAACAGTCCGATGACTCACGGCAGACGACCAAAGAGTTTTTATTCGGTGATTCAGAGATTTATCCCGCGCATTTCCCCTTTACCCACTTACTTCTTAGATGCTTTCAAATCTTATACAAAGTTTTGGGAGAATCGAAAGTGCATCGGGCGGATCGAAAACAATACAGATACTCGAAGCGATGGAGATGGTTTATCTATTTGATGACTGACGTGTTATCGGTATTCATCGTACTGTTCTTTGCGCTGATCGTGCCGTTATCATCGTTGATCGTAACTTTGTGTCAGGATTTGATTGAAGTTTGATGGACTTGATTATAAACCCTTCATCACCGCCTTAGTGTTATCGGCAGCATCAGGTACGAAGTCACCGTAAAGTCAGTGGGGGTCACGTCGCATTTCATGGAGATTAATTCAACTTTCATCACATGGGTCATCTGCCTATCTCCTATTGCAACCTGCATTCGTGACTGGTCTACTGTTAATTAATTATCTTTATCGTTCGTCTATTAGTAAACAGAACAAATTGAGCCTGGACCTATATAATCAAAATGATTTCAAAACAGTATGCTTAAGACAAAGTTTGAAGTTTTAAAACTGTGTCTTCATTAGTGGTTATCTTTTAGAATTATCTTGGATATTCGTTAGATAATCGAATTTCGTAGCAGTTGACAAAGACTGTTTGGCAGCCATTTTGAACTTGAGTCTGGCCTGAAGAAAATTGCGTTGGAACGCCGACAATCATCCTACGTTGGGTTAAGTAGAAAATAAGCTGGAGTAATTAGAAGTCTAGCTTAGGAATTACATGTTTTGTGTTTTGGTTGAAGAGATCAGTGACCCACTAAGCGAGCACATGTTTAAGTGTGGGAGGAGGGCTGACGTCACAATAAGCTTAGTGAGATAGGGGGCAGATAGAACGGGTCAGATAAAAATCATTGTGACGTCCGAACAGTATCAGCAGGTAACGAAAGGTGAGCGTAGAGCGCACACGGACCAAGGAAAGAACCCTCCCTCGAAGAGCTACCCTGGATCAAATAATTCAGCTGATGATTGTGATGCAAAGAAGACGGGTTTAAAAATAGCATAACTGTGGAGAACTTTCACGGTGAGCAGCCGCAACTAGCTAGATACCCGACTTTGTACCCGGCCGCGACAGAATGCTGTCTGTATTTCTGTTTGACATTTTGAAATGCTATTCATAACTGAAAAAGAGGCCGTCGTGTGAGGCGATGTCTGAGGAATTCTTCCGAATTCTACACTCATGAGACTTTGTTCAAGACAAGTTAAAGCAGTTTAACCAAACCTGTTCTCTATTTGTAAGAGTTTACTGTGACACGTGTTGAGTAGTTCCTGAAGTTTGCGACATCACTTGGCCTATTGGATACAAAAACCGTTTGAGCTTTGCTTTTTTTTCATTTTGTCGACGACTTGTTTCTTCGTCGTCTTTGAGTTTGGAAACAAATCGTCTTTGAAGAGTGATTATATGGTAATGATCAGTGAATTACTTCTTCAATTTTTAAGTGACATTTGAACTGTGTAAGACAATTTCGCAACATTCAACATGAATCGGTCGATTACAAAGAGTTTTCAGACATTCGACGAAGAGTTGGAGTGTGTTATCTGCACAGGCCGTCTGCTAAATGCCAAGTTCCTCCAATGCCTTCATAGTTTTTGCGCCGAGTGCCTCGAGCGATGTGTGACAGTTCGAGGTAACATAGAAGGCACTTGCCGCCTCCGTTCCATCCCCTGTCCTCTCTGTCGCGAGGAAACCATTTTACCTGATAATGGAATCAACGGGCTGAAGCCAAATAACCTGGCAAACAAGGTTGTCCAGGCCTTGGAGGGCAATGACCACTGTGCCAAGTTGATGGATTCTGAATTGTGTTGTGAGTCGTGCCGTACGAAGCGTTCTCGAGCAGTTGCCTACTGTCAAGACTGCCGCCATTTTATCTGTCGTGATTGTGTGGGGTCGCACTCCTCCCTGAAACAGATTCTGAGTGGACACCGCATTAAGCCTCTCAATGACCTTCGAAGGAGTCTGGTAAAGACCAAGAACGGGTACAAGGACGCCAACCACGGGAAGACATGCTACCAGCATAACGGACAGGTCAAGACGCACTTCTGTGAGACATGCTCAATGCTTGTGTGTATCCGCTGCACAGGAGATACCCATCCCGAACCGCATCACGTGTGCGTTGAGGCAAAAGACGCGGTAAAAACGCGATTACGTAGCATTCAAGAGCTCGTCGAACAAGGCCACGATAAGCAGAAGGAAGTTGCAGACGCGCTACGAACGATAGATCGTCAACGCAACGAGGCGCGGCACGTCGTCCGCTGCCTGCAACAAGAGATAAACGATGCAGCTGACGCCGCGGTTGAGAACGCTCTCAAAAGCATTGATTTTCAGCGGTTAACCCTTCTCAAAGAAACAGACAGGCTGGACGAGTTCCTAACCGGAAAGTATGACGAACTTGAAGCAGCGCGACTTGGTGTAGGATCACTCCTTTCTAACGCGAGAAGCTTCGGTGTCAAATTGATGAAGAACCCAAGTGTCAAAGTACTTCTGACCTTCGACAAACTTAACACGACCTTGCACAATTTAGTATCGGAGCAGTGGGACAAAGCGTCGGTTGACTACATCCATAGTATCACCAAGAACGTGAGGTTTGAGTCACAGGAGAACGCACAGTGGGTGTCGGTCGGGACCCTTGTCGATCCAAATCAGTGGTCACTCTCTAGAAGTATCCCTATTCCCGAGTCTAAGTCGGGCGAGGTCTCATCGATGTCGTACTGCTCCAGCGGATCACTCTTCCTCGCCCACTTCAACGGCGTCGTCGAGGAGATGACCGTCGACGGGAAGATCACCCACGTCCTCAACACAGGTTCCGACATCCGTGACATGGCCGTTCTCTCCGACCGCACGATCGTCATTCTCGACGGGACATGGCAAATCGCGGTCTACGACCCAACCGGCAAAAAGTCCCGCATGATCCATTCGAAGAATGGCAGCACGGGTTTCACATGTCTTACCGCGGACGCAGACGATATGATTTTCGCGGGAGAATTCCATCGCGATACGATATCCGTCTTCGCGAAAGATGGGCGCCAAGTCGAATCAATACCCGCCGGTGGGATCACGCCGTACCGCATCGTTGTCGCAAACTCGGGCCAGATTGTTCTGTCCCATAGCCCTGCTTCCGTGTCCGTCTTGAATCGCGATGGAGATGTAGAGTGCACCGTCCATCGCAAGCAATGGCAGTACGCTCTCGTCTGTTGCGACACCAAAGAGAACATTTACATCCTCTCTGGGAGTCGGGATGAAAAGAAACTCATCTCAGTGCACAAATACACACTGGAGGGTTACATCGTCGAATGCGTAGTCCGACATGTTGAAGTCGACGTTGGCTCGTGGCATCCGAGAATCGACTGTACGCCTGACGGTAACTTGGCGCTTGTGACCAAAACGAAAGTCGACATCTACAGCAGCAGGTCTGTGATCGAGCGGGAAAGAAAAGAGCTGGAGCAGGAGGATTCTGAAAGAAATGAAATGCAAGAGGAAAATTCACAGCCCTGAATTATTTTTCTCATATCATTTTTTGCGTTTACGTCTCCCCAGCGACGAACTCTTGAACACCGCCATGACAGAGGTGTCGTGGTCGAGTGGATACGTCGCCGGACTGTGGATCACAAGGTCCGCGGTTCGAGTACCGCCGCGGTACTAATGTCATTCGGCAAGACATTGATCTACATTTGCCACACTCAACCCAGGTGATTTAAATGGGTACCTGGCAGGAATTAATTCCTTGAAATGCTGGAGCGCTGTAATGGCAGCTAGGCTAAAGCCGGGGTAATAATAAATGCGCCTCGGAATAGAATTTCTAGATAGACGGCGCTATAGAAATGCCTATTATTATTATTGTTATTATTACTGCATGGAAAGCAGATCCTTAATCGTGCCAGTTATTTAGGGCAAGATTATTGACAGCATTGATAAGTCAGAAGAGAGGCGATTTGGCTGTTTTGAAAAGCGTTCTCAATAAAAATGTTGCATGGATCAAAACAACAATGATTATAAAGGAAACGGGTCACGAAAGGTGACGAAATCATCCAATCAAGACGAAGATGATATATTCCTCAATGAAGTTTGGGAATGTAGTTATGATGTGATAAGTAATCCAATACAAGTAGATGGGCATGCAGTACTCCCATATTTTAAAAACTTGCTCGGAATGAAACGTGATTACAAGACTATCTAATGAAATGGAGCAATGAGCACAATTTGTTGCAGGAAACGATAACTTTAATTTAATTTCGGCAAAAAAAAATAACCACAGTTGTGATTAGAATTGGGAATACAAGACAATAGTGATCAAAAATGCAATTTGTGACCTGCAAACAATTCTGAGCTATATAAATCACAATGCATGCAAATGTTGAATGACGATAAAAAGTGGTCCTTTAAATTCATGTGGTGTTTATCAGGTAATATGTATCAATGTCTTAAGTGTTTTACATACGTTTCACCAACTTAGTACAGATAATAAGATATTAATATGCAGATCGAATAAATCTAAAACTTTGCAATTCGTGAAAATACAATTAAATCGGTACTCCTATATGAGTCAGCGTTTGGTATCGAATGCCCCGATAGTATTTCTGTTTAGATTTAAATTTATCAAACGATCCGGTTGTGCGTATGGTAGTTTCTTTTGTGAAATATTGTTCACATGTCATTTGGCTTAAGTTGCTCGATAGCCCTGCAATGATGTATTTGGGGAGTGTAATGATTTTCGATGGCCTATTTTTAGCCCATAACATCACTCCAAACCTCAGCGCGGCCGGTCATCTAGGACAGCCAGTGACGTATTTTATGACGCATGGCACCATCCTTCAATTACCTAATCAAGATTAGGTAATTCTATTTCATTTCATATTGATCAATATACCTGTCATCTTTTGATGTATGTCATACTTGTGATAATAACTTACATTTCCTACCCTGGATGATGGATACAATAGAGAAGTTTCCTAATCTGGTGAAAGTTCGACGACGAGGCACTGCGTTCCATGAACCGCCTAACCATGTTAACACAGAATTTAAGCAGAACTGTTTAAAGGAAAGGCAAAGTTTTGGAAAAATTTGAAAATTGAATGGATAGTAATTCTTTAAAATGTTGATATATTTGGATGCCCCTGTCGATGTAATATAAGCACTAGAAAATTTAGCCCCTAAAACACTTTCATGACAATTTCAATATGCAGTTCTGAAATATAATTTCCAAACGGGAATAGCAAATCGGTCGATTGTAGTCAGGAAACATTGTTTTAAAGCTAAAGTAATATCAGTGTTGAGAGGGAGCTATACAAATGAAAGAGTTTAATATTTACTTTAGACTCGATTCCAACCGCGACAACGAAAATTGAATATTGTAAAATCGCATATGCTTCCAATATGTTCTTTTGAACCAAATTTATGACTCCATACCAAAACTTCGTATTACCTTTAAATGGCTTTTTTTCTACCATCTGCTTGGCACAGAACGTTGGGTATTTGCGCTTTAATTTCTTTGTTAGACAGTAATTTATAGAACACCGTCTCTGACGAGCTTGCCCAAAACTTGGCCAACATGCCAACAAATGCTTTCAGGTGGAATCTCTCCCGGTGTTCAGGGGGTTATGGGAAGAAAATTCTTCAGAAATAAAATAACTGGTCTTCGAGGGTTGGTGTGTTCTAATTTCTATGGTATGCGTTTATTCAACGTACATGTAATCATTGACAATTGTACATACTGCAGAGAGTAGTTAAGATTGGTATATAGTTCATGTTGCATATCTTTAGCAATCTTTTGTATTCATGGCAATCATGATCATAATATGGTTATCAATTACATAACAAAATTATCTTGGTATTTAGTCTCCCGAGGAGAGATGATATATTTATATCAGTAATGTCATAATCGATCATGATACATGCATTTAGCTTTCAAATGATAATAACAAATATTTCCTTCAAGTTACTCAAAAACTGCACTTCATTTTCAATGTTTAGTTGAGTGTTTGAAGATATTTTAATGTATGACACGTACATTATCTCGTTAAAAATATTCTGTTCTTCTTCCCCTTTGAAGAAAATGCTTTTTTCCCCCCACAACAGAGCATATTTCATCTAAATGAACATGCCAGTTTGTAGGAATAATAGAACAGGTGTAGAAATCGGATGTGGGTTCCGCCACCCCAAGGTTTTATTTAATGACGATATCATGTGTCATTTATATTTTCCAAAGGAAGTGGTTATACTCGCAATGCATATTCCTTCGTTGTGGAAAATGTATCCTCTTTTTGAAGAACAATCATTATGAATGCTTTCATATTATTCCTTATTTGTTTACATCAAACTATCAATATTATGACCTGATTTGTACTTTTCTCTGTTTATAGTGGATGGAAGGTCTTTTAAACTTCTATGTATAAAAAGGCAAGACGAATAAGTGATCGTGTATCGACTAAAACTTATCAATATTTGACAGTTTCGACATCAGTGTACATGTATATACTAGTTCATGTTTTGTTACCGTTTGTATTAGAAGTTAGATAGCACACACACAAAATTGTTTTATTGACGATATTTATGTTTTGTTTAAAGCAAATCAGCAACGAACCATGTAAATTAACAAGTGGATAATGATGAAGAGAGTTTAGAGTTGGAGAGACAGCTAGAGAGACAGAGAGCGAGACGGGAGAGAGAGAGAGAGAGGGGGGGGGGATTTAGGGAGAGAGAGAGAAAGAGAGAGAGTGAGTGAGTTAGAGAGAGAGAAAGAGAGAGAGAGAGAGAGAGAGAGATAGGGGTGGGGCGGATAAAGATAGAGGGGAGAAATATGGAGAGAAAATGATTAAGCAAGTACAGCCAGGAATGGGACTTCCAAACCCTCATCTTTTACACCCTTGGAAATATATGTAATATTCATAAGATATCATAAGTCCCGACCCTCAAACACAGAATAAGTGTTAACTTGTTTTTGTTTCTTTGTTCATTATGATTTAATCCGGGGATTTAATGTTCCGTCTAGCTATTGACCAGATTGTGAAAGCGCACAATCACAAATCGCACATGCGCAGAAGTTTCCTGAATGGTGAAAGGGGTTTTCCCCCAATTGAAAAATAATGACCAGTGGGGAATTTCCCGGAAGAAGCGTGCAAACTGCACGATTGCTACACTTCCTTCTCATATATTTCTGTACTAAATGTAATTGGTGATGTAATTCGGCGTAAGTTGTTGTCTGATGGGGACAACTTCAAACTACACCCGTGCCGTTTCAGTTGACCAATTCAAAACGTGTATCGTTAACAGATAAGAATCTTTATCAGTTGAGCACGTGTCTGCCTTATATCAGCAGCATTGATATTAATTTTTCGGGGGGGGGGGGGGGGGGGGGTGGGCCCAGGAAATTTCTCTCTCAGTTGGCATGCTATTTATTTTTTCCGATATTCTCCCTTTCTGAGTAATTGATTACTTGTACATTTGTCATTATTCCCACTACTATTCATCCACATTCATAGTGAAGAAGGAAAAAAAAAATCATCCCATGATTCAACTCTTATATGCCGCACAAGCAATATCCCTGTGCCAGTGTCTTTATCATGCGATACATATACCAACGGCTTCCGGACTACTTAACTGCCCAATGTAAGCTTAATCTGTGCAGGTGTTAAAATTGTTGTCATAGACCTAACGAAGACCGGAAATTGGTAATTTTGTCAAAGTCATTGTGTTGCACAAAGCAATCTTTCTGTCGATTGATACTTATTTTGAGTGTGCAAGATTGCAAGTGTGGCAAACGAGCGGCAACCGTGCAGAGAAGCAACGAAAGCAACCAAAGTGTTAATTCACCCCCGCACCGCCACCTCTCTTGCTCTCTCTCATTTCTGTTTCTTGTTTTGTTTGTTCCATTATATTTGTCGTTTCATTGCTTATTTTTTTGTGATATAATCATTCTTGTATTATATTTTACATGAGAAATAAAATCATTTGAATCAATTGAATCAATAAATATCCGTTCAAATTTCACACAATATCATTCCTTCCTCCACACTGCTACTAAACTCATTAAAACAAAGAAACTCACTTAGCAACGATGTAAATCTTTGGATAATAATGCATGTTGTTCATTGTATTTTTTTCTTCAAACCATTTACAATCAGCTTTTTTTCTTCAATTTCTTTAAAGAATGTACAAGTTCATTTTGTAACATTATCTGTACAATAATTCGACAAAAGAAGCTCTCATACTGAACAAGATTCATAGTAAATTTTGAAAGTGAAAAAAATTTCTTCACAGCACTATCTATAATTCTATACACATTTACAATTATCATTGGCATATGATATGATATAGAAAACAAAATTCAACAACTCTCCTGTATCTGACATTCTGACTTAGTAAAAGAAAGCCATTACAACAGAACCTTCCAACACAGCTGTCCTGTTTCTGAACTCTCATTTTTATCACAGCTTTACTATAAAGCGAACCATTTTGATCTCTTCTTTTCGAAATCATATATCATAATTATATACTGAAGAGAAGGCAATTTCTAAAGAAATCTTAAATCTATGACTAAAGAAGCAAAAAGCATCCCTCATGCTTTTCCTATCTCACACTCATGACACTGTTGGCAAACATCTCATGAAATTATTCCCGAGATAAAATTGTCAAAATTGTTGAGCTTAAGGTAAGTTACTGGCCAGTGGTCGTTCATTTAAAAGGAATTGAAATAAGAAAAATTTTAAGAGAAATAAGAAGAATTCAAGAAATAAAAGTTTAGGATATTTAAAGCCTTGTGCATCCCCTATTAAAATGTGTGGATATTGCAATGACATGATACACAATGGGAACAAGAAATTTCTATGGGCGATTTGATGGAGTGCAAACATTGCCCGTGAGTAGATTTCTTGAAAGTCTTTGCGATCATGTTAAAAACAAAATCAGTGTCCAAGATCATTTAAGATTCAAAATACAAAATCAAATTGGCAACACCATGATCCATAGCCCGAAAAGTAGAGATAAGAAGGATTTTCCTCCACCATTTTTTCTGAAATCAAGGATTTGGGATGATTTTCTTGCAATTCTTTCAACTTCTTTCTCTACTTCCTGATGCAAAGTTTAATTCAAATCACATAAATATCACATAGAATCCTGGGATATTGATCTTTGTCTCCCTTTAATTGTTGAAATTCCTGATTGTGCATCCTAAAATGATCGATGTGGATGCCATTTCAATGCAATGAGAAAAGTTGTTAAAATTCTCATGGTCCGTATTCTACTTAAATTTAACCCTGACGCTGGGTTAAAGCTTTTGTTAAAATCAGGTTTAACAAAAAGAAGGTCCAAGTTCCCTTTGTTAAATGTGATCGGAGACCCAGTTAACTGAATCAGTAGAATACGAACCAGTGTATGGAATAGAACATCAAAGGAAACAAGTTAAATATGGACCTAAGCTGAACAGAAAGAAACTGAAACATTAACAAAAATATTTCCCTTTGCACCCAACATGTTGATTTTTTGACAAAGTGAACACACCCTGAAGATGACATTACATCTCTAACCAATAATACATGACCTGTTCACACACTAAAACAAGAGTATCTTTTAAACAGTGAATATCGATCTGCGATCATCAATGGTTACTGTAATATTGTATATCGTTTTATCACAGGTTTTGCTACTTTGATATTGTGCATAGTTGTTGACAGCTTATTTCCCTGAATACTATTACCAAAACAAAAAATAACTAATAAGTGAGGACAGAGATACATATCTTCATGTTTAACTGCAGGGTACATGCACAGAAGCCTCTTGCATGAAACTTTGAACTTGCAATTAAAGCAACTCAACAAATCTGAAAATCTTGCGTTTGAAATTTCTGTGCAAGAGGCATTCCTGATAACATTTAAAGTGTGAGAACAATCAGCTCATATAATTTCTTTGATCATATGTAATGTTGGATAAATGCCACAATGGCATCTAAAAGAAATTGGAAATGATTGCATAATTAAATGCATGTCTCATGATAAAGTACCAACTACCAATACAGCTGGGGTAATAATATGATTGCAGGGCCCTTAGGGAGAACAGTTTTTAGACTGATGAGGCTACCCTGGGTAAACAAGATATATTATTATTATTATTATTACGTAGATACCACTCATGATCATAATCTACATGTAGTCTACTCTTATCAGAAAAAAACATTATTAGGAAGATTTGTCTAGGGAAAAAAAGGACCCCAGCAAATGTATGACCCTGTTTTAATTGAGAGTTTTCTATTTTAAGTCTAAATGGTTCATTTTAATAGTGATATGGTGTTATTCATAATGTTTGCATAATTTAGTCATAATTTCAATCACAAAAAAATACAATCAAACCTGTATATTAAGGACAACTAAGGGAAACAGAACAAAAACTGTTGACAAGTGACCTTTCTAGGCAGGTCCTATAACACACATTTCTACCCACAGGGGAATAATATGGGCGACCACTATAGCCAGGTGGCCGTTCAAGACAGGTTTAACTATAATCACTAGGGTGTTAGAGAGTGATGCAGATGTATCATTGACCTCTTATCAAGGGTTCAAAACAACCAGACACTAAAGATTTCAATGTTTCAATCATTCGAATTTCTTAAAGATTAGCAAATAAACAAATATTTTTTGCTTTCATCAAAAGAAGACCGACAGCATTCTGCAGGAAAACACTTTATAAGCACACATTGTGGATTAAGCCTCTGAGGTAATTCATCTACTGGGGTTTACATTTACACAATTTGTTCACATTTTGATGATTCCAATACCAAACAAACAAACAATTGTTCATATGTCCTACACAATCAACTTTTCCCCAAAACATTGAGACAATTCTGTCACAATGTAGTCACATGACCAGAACTCAAGCTGCATTTCACAACCATTGCATGGAAATAATTGTCTACTTACAGGTAGATTCTACCTATATTCAGATGGTGTTTGAACTTGAAATACAGAAAAAAAGTGTTTTCTGTAATATTTTGAATATGGCACTTGGCTATAAAATGCCCAAACACATATATACGGCAAAATACTGTTGGTGATTGTCCCCTTTAACACCATGGCCATATCATCAAGGGGTTGCTCCTAAGACTGGGCCATGGTTTGTGCACACAACGCAGACAGACATGCCGTGCATTACCCTTATCACGCCCATGCCATGTTCCTCTAGCCTCAACATACCCTTCTACTGTCACCTTCAGGCCTTCAGGGGCACGGATGCAGGAAGCAGACTGTCCTGTCTGGAATGGTTCCAAGAAAGATTGGGAATCTAGGAGGGAGGGGGAAGGGGAAGGGGAGGGGGAGGGGGAGGGGGAAGGGGGGGGGGGTGGGCTGGGTCGGGAAGGATAGGTGATTGTCGATAATCATGGAGACAAGGGGTTGCAGGCTTATCCAGAAGAGTCTTTGAAACAAGAGACTTAAAATGTAGGAGGGGGTAGTTAGGGTTAGGGAGGGTTACAAGGCTATTTCGAAGAAACTTTGAGACAAGAAACGTAAAATATGGGAGGGGAATAGGCGGAGGAGGGATGTGATACAGGGCTGTCCAAATCAACAATCTTTGAGACAAGAAACTTCCAGTGTAGGAAGGGGAATAGGGTGAGGAAAGGTACGTGGCTGTTCAAAACAACAATCTTTCAGGAAACTTTGATTGTAGGAGGGAGAGGGGAAGGGGAAGGGCGAGGTCGGAGAGGGGTACGGGCTGTGCAGAAAACTTGTTGAGAGAACATTAAAATGAAGGAGGAATACACAGGGGAATCTAGAATGCATACTCTATACTTTCAGAGCTCATACTGATATAACTCATCCTTCAAACTCCAGGAAGTAGCAATGTCATCAGGATATGAGTGAGAATGTGTGAACACTCCATGATGTAATGTGAACACACCATCATGTAGCAAGTAAGTCTGAACCAGCAGACCTTTGAATACTCATCACCCCCAAAGAGGTTGCACAAGACATCATTGACCTCTCATAAATGAGATTGAGCCAGAGTATCATATCTGTATCTGACAGGAAGTTTACATTTTGTAGAAAAAGAACTAAAATAATGTTCAAACAAGAATATATTTACTGTAAGACCAGAAACTTCTGCGACCTTAAGCTTTCATGAATGTTATTTTAGTGGCAATTGGCAACAAGAATTGCAAAATAAAAGTTAGTGTCGCCATTCATGGATTTTGCTGCATGAAACTTCAGCGAACTTTGGCCTCTCGTGAAAGTCTCGTTGGATTTGAAACATGCAAGAGCTTCTGGTTTTATAGCAGCTCTCCAATGATAATTCCTTCAGAAATAAACCTTTTAATCCACAAGGGTTGCCTGATGCTTCAAAAATGACTTCTTCAGTTGAAAAGCCCATGGGGATCTTGGAAGTTTGAAACGCCTCACATACTTGGTCACAGAAGAGGAGATGTTCTAGAATTGCATTACTATGGCAATGACGTTGCCGATTGTGGCCTCACGATTGTCTGTGTTACTGTTTTACGAGCAGGTATCGACGATGATGAAGAATTAACGACGACTGACCTCTTGTTATCCGGATGGAAACCTGCCGAAGACGATTTTGGCGCTTGCGTCATTTTCGTAATGTTTTCCGTAATACTGAATACAAAGCCGAGGCAGCCGATTTTGATGAAGCTCCCATGATGCAACAGTGCGGTGCCTTCCCAGCCTGCCTTGCTGTCACCGAGCAGCGCAGAGCTGCTGCCACCACGGCAACCACACGGATGGAAATGGTTGTTGGTCGTGGCACTCATGCGTAGGGGTATCTCCGGTTCTTTCTCTTGTTTTATCTCATGACGACTCTTGCCATCTTTCATGAGTCTCTCGCTGAATCGCACTTTCCTCTTGTCGATGATCTTGCGAACCTGAAATATGAGGGAGTTGAGATCATTTATCTTAATTTCAAACAAACTTAGATTAAGTTCCAAAACAATACAGGAGAGATATGTTTTGCATCTGAATTCATATCTCTAAAGATTATTGGAGAAATTATTACAAATGCATTGATATTTGATGTAGATATATGTAAAGATGTGTTCCTCTTTATGCAAAATATAATTCCTGAAAAAAAAGGTAAAAAACACAATTTGTCTTTAATATCTTGTGAATTTATTTGGCCTTTAAAGCAAAAGTAGGTGACGTTATCACATGTGTGTTGATTATATCAACAGCTTTATTTGCTCAGGAAAAAAAAATGTATTCAAAGCAACACAATGTCTTGTTTTCATAATACACCATACAAATAAAAACTGGTTGTGCAAACATTGAGGTAATAGGTTTACTCAGAATGACTGTGAAACAAAACAATGATTCTACAACATTCAAACACCTTTTTCTCATCTCCCAAATGCACTACCCAATATGTTTAAAACATATACATAAGAGTCTGTACACCATCTGAACACCTCTTAATTTCAAAACACAAAACATGCACATTTTACATGCTGTGTTTAGATGGCAAGCATTTAACAATTAAGAAACGTAGTTAACTTACATTCCTGACCATAGGGGATGCTCTTGGATGGTTGGACGACCATTTATCTGATGAGTCACAGGAGAAGATCACATTATCTACATTGGTGCCGTACTCACTGTAGTTGATTAACTCATACAACCTCGTAGTCTGAAGAAGAAAAAAATGGAACAAAAATTAGAGATCATTTGTTAAGAGCCAGAAGGGCACAGACTGTGTAAAATGATGTGACTTAACAGCCTTCCGGCTCCAAACAAGATAATTCTAAGTGTAAGTTGCATTAATTTGGTGCTATGCACATCCATCGTCTTCGATCCCGAGAGATTTTTGCATTAATACCACATAGATCAAATACAATGACAGTTGTAATTCAGGGATCGAACTGATGAGAGTCAAATGAGTTATATTTTACATTATTCATAAAAAACATACCAGAATGTACATATTCAAAATGTGAGAAACACAATATTTCAAATTATTAAAAAAATGCTTCATGTTATTCATAAATAACCAGTGCCTTTTGCGTACATGATGAAATGCTCATATTTTTCAATTATAAGTTTACAGTTCCATTTCACAGACTTTTCCCTGTCTATCTTTCTATTTTCTTGTATTGGATTTGCTGATGGAAATCTAAACTCAAAAATCATAAGTGTTTTTCGTAATTCCATTCTGATTTGTTTTTCTTCCTTTGAAAATTAAATTGGTATTCCATACTTTTCAATTCTAACCCTAACTGATAAACATAATCTAATGGAAAAAATTAAAAAGCAAATTGAGTTTATTATACAGGGTCGGTATTAAATTCAATAATTATGTTGGAAATTATAAGTATTTTACTAGTACTGCTTTCACACTGGCAAAAATTTGCTTAACCCCATACTATAGGTGGGGTTAAGTGGGCTAAAGTTGGCTTACCCCACCTATAGTACGGGGTTAACTAACCCTGCAAGTAGCAGGGCTAACTCCGCAATTGTGGTGCTAACTCCTGCTAACCCCGCAATTGCGGTGCCAAGCAAATGAACAGAAACGAAAAATAGTCCGGTACTACGCAATGGAGCGTATCGCAGCTGGCCAGATGCGAAGTATGTCCAATCATAACATTCACGATATCCGGGGTTAACGAATTGCAGTAAGAACAGCGTGAATTTTTTATTCCGAAATAGGCGCTAGTACGGGACTAAAAACAGCGTGTGTGAAAAGCCAAAAAAAGAGTCCGGGGTTAAGGATAGTACGGGGCTAAGCAAAGTACGGGGTTAAGCAAAACCAGTGTGAAAAGAGTATAGGTTAACAGCATAGATAAAATACTTAACAAACTTTGATATTCAATTGAGCTTTTTAAACCTCAGTTTCAGACAGCTCCAAGGCAGACTTAAGCCAATTATTTTGGAAGCTTAGATAGGCAGGCATATGGTTATCACACGCAATTATCTAAAGCTGCGCACAATTGTAAGAGTGTGCATATAAAGCAACGCATTAATTGCGCATGATTTTAGATGACAAGATGACGTCACCATACTTCTCACCTAGTATTCGCCTTAAACTCAACTTAAGTAAAATGCTCAGATATGTTCTGAATACCAGTTAAGACAAAATACTTAGCCAAGTAAAGTTCTAAGTGAAATATTAACTTAATCCACGTACTGAATTTAATACGTCCCCAAGTACCTAACCAATCTAGGCTATCATCTGTTTCTTACCTGATCATAGAATATACACGCGTGCTTGGGAGATACAAAATTACAATGCCCATAGCTCCCTGAACAAACATCCATGTCCTTTCCTGTCAAGAGAGAAAAGAAGCATACAGAGACAAAAATATTAAAAAAACATCCAGTATATCTGTATTTATGATCTAAATATTCTTAATGTAATTACCTTGGATTAAAATTAACTTATTTCACACATTTTCCTAGCATTGACTCTTCATACATGTTGATAGAAACAAATGAAATGTGGTACAAATCACAATATGATTACAATTTTTTGTCAACTACTGACAATGACAAGTAAATTCAATCACTAATCTAAATTTATAATTAAGAACTGGCACAGAAAGTCTCCACTCCATGAAGAGTGGCAGACATTGTATTTCAAACCATCCCAAAGGTTTTCTAGTTATTGTCATAACATATCTATGACTTCAGTATTACACAAAACATAACACAGTAATCAAAACATCTAACTTGCCATTGAAAGTAAGTTTTTAAAAAAATATCTACAATACAACAGTACATATTGGTTGTATCATCAAGCAACAAATTTTATCTCTACAACCCCTCCCCTTGTAAAAAAGGCAAACCAAACTGACCTGATCCTATATGCAACGCCCTGAAGCACATCGGTACTGGCGTACCGGGACCTCTTCCATTCACAGGACACACCATGGCCCTGGCCCGCACCGTATGTGATAGCCCGGTGGAGGGGACACCATGGTCGGTACCTGGTGATGGCAATGTGGAGGTGTGCAGCGGTACACTACCGACTGTGGTGGTACCGCCTGTGTTAAACGAATGCAGTGATGAGGTACCCTGGTTGATGACGGTGGCGTTGGTGCTAGGAGATGAGGAGTAGGAGGATGACATCGACGAGGATGATGATAATGATGATGATACTGTGTTGGTGTTGGTAGTGGTTTTTTTGTTGACTATTGTAGTCTGCAAGGTCTGATTCTGAGAGGGGTAAAAGAAAATAAGAAAATATAAAACCATCCACATAAAGTCTGAATTGGCTCAAGAATCAACAAGGAGATATGCAAAAAATGTGTAATCTCCATTACAGTCATTACAGTCACTTGGCTTTGACATAGAATTAATGCCTCATATATTTTAACTTCTCTGAAAAAAAGACTTCTGCTGAAAGAAAAACAATATTGATATGGTTTCAAATTTTGCTGTTAATAAAAGGCCTGTTGAAAACAGCTTCAAAGCATCATCGGCACAAGTTTGGTCAGGAGGGATTAGACCTCCCTGCATGGTCACTGGCAGGTGGTTATCTCATCAAACCAGCTCTCAAATAACATAAGAAAAAGGGGATCATTGGGGACCAACGGGTACCGCTTACGGAGTAGCAAGTTTTCACAACTGGCGACGCGGCCTTCTACAACGCTAATCTTAGCGGGAGGGTGGGGGGGGGGGGGTGCGTAGCGTCCAAAGCTACGATGGTATTCAGCCATATTAGCATCGGGAGTCGAGCTAGTATGGGGTGGCAAGCTCATATTAATACCCAGTAGTTAGCACTTGCATCGTTGTGCGAAAACTCGCTATTGTTGGCTATACAGAGGGCGCAAGTAGATACAAGTAGTGCAGTCCCGCTTTAACAGAAATACAAATACAAATACGATTTCAAGAAAGTTGGGTTACCTTTTGAGGTAATAGTTGCTGCAATCTCTGCCAGGCAAGAATCTGGACCAGCCTCTCATCCAACTTACTCAATTCTACTTCTGTAAAGGCAATAACAAACAAAGAAAGAATGAAAGAATTAATTTGTCGTGACTGAACTTGCATCAATAGAACGTATCTTCCTCACTACCATGAACTACTCTTAACTTATTTACCATAAACAACTAGATGACATCATAATCACAACCATAATCATTATCTTCAAAAATAAGCAGAAGCATCAACATTGTAGCGGCCATTATCATCATTAATGGATAATTATAAAGACTTTACAAATTACTGAGAAGTAAAGTAAAGTAAAGTAAAGTATAATGCATACCTCCGGTGCCATCAATACATGACTGTAGAGAGCTGTTGAGGTTGATGATAGCTGGTGAGGAGCCGAGGGTAGCTGGAGTGATCTTGCCAGAGTTCAGTGGCGAAGGACTCAGCTTACCTGTGAGGGGTGAAAGGAGGGTGTGACCAAAAGAGAAAAGGATGTTACAAAACAATGTTACAATTTAGACAGAATAGTACAGTGGAACCTCATTAGGTGCCAAATCACAGGTCGGTCGGCGGAAATTTTTTTCTTTCTTTTTCTCCCTCTTTGGGCTGATATTTATCAGTTTTGAATGCTTTATAATAGATATTTTTTTATATACTAAAATTTTTTTTTCTAAAAAAAAGTTAGAATATTAAAAAAAACTTTTTTAGAAATCCGACCATAGATTTCAATATTTTTGGGTCGGTCGCAATACAACATCTTTTTTTAAAATGCCTTATAAAGAGCTCTGATGCAACCAGGTATCTGTTATAACAAGGTGATTTTGCTGGTCCCAGCTCTTAATATATTTTTTTTAAACTCTGATATAACAAGGTATTTTCTAAAGGACCTTGTTATAACGAGTTTCCACTGTATATGAAAATGTAATGTTTCTTTGCAACTAGAGGCAGAGTGATAACAATCCCCCATCATTACCTGAGGTAAACCGTGGATTTGCCTCCAATGAAAATACAGAGCAGATTCATGAAAGAGAAAGTTTGGTTGGTACAAATTTTCAAAAGCCTTCCGCCCTTCAAATAACCTTTACAGGTCCACAATAATTCATCGACTGTAACTTTTGTTGTTGTTGTTGAACAAACTAATTTTACTCACCAGAGGAAGCTGGTATTGTCACTACCCTCCCCGTCATTCCCGGTGACCCTTGACCCACACCAACGGCCATCTTTGTTGGCATGGTGATAGTGGTGAACTTAAGGTTCCCTGCCTGCGTCGTAGACACCACCTTGGCAGACGATGGTACAACTACACTTCCACTACTAATCATGACCGTCGAGGGCGTCGTGTTTGTCTTCGCTGACGTGTAGGTCACCGACGGTGGTGACTTGACCCCAGATGAGGTCACTCTCTGCATGGAGGTCACAACCTTTGACTCAGAGTTATCAATATTCGTTATACTGCCATTCACAATAGCACTCGCAGGAGAGTCATGTAACGTCTTGTCCTCAGGAGAGGGCGACGTTCCGTTGCTTTTCGTCTTGACCATGACGTGGTTGTTCAAGTGCTCAGCTGCTTCTAAGACGAGGTCCGTCTTGCTCTTGTACAAGCTCGACGGTCCGTTTGACACAATAGAGTTGATCGGTTTGAATGGCCCATTGTGTAATGCCTTCAAATCGGCGACCGTTCTAATTTTGGGTTCTCGCGTATCAATCAAATCATACTTATAACCGTCCCTCTTAGCAGTCCTAAATTCTTTACTCAAAGACTCGACGACACTTGCGTCTTTTACGCCGCTAGGGTTCGTGGTGGTTGCCGTAACCGTGGTAGTGCTTTTTGATTCCTGGCTGGTGGACGCAATGCTTGATGATGAAATGCTTGATGACGCAACGCTCAATGGCGTAACACTCGATGACGTAACGCTCGATGACGTAGCACTGCTGGATGCTGTGCTGTGATTGGACGGTGTGGACACGACTATGGGCGGAGCCGATGAAGACTTGGAGAGCATAGACGTGGTGATGATTTTTGGTTTGATTGTCGGTTCTTTGGGTAGTGCCTTGTGAGCCAAATGCCTTGCTATACTGGTCTGCAAAGCCACCACACCTTTCAACCACTGATGATTTAAAAAAAAAGGGAAAATATATTTCGATTGGCTAATCAAATATCATGAAGTGAAAAGAATAGAGAAACAACAAATTTCAAAGAATAAATGAGATTCACAACATATAGGCATAGGAGACACTGGTCAAAATGAACAATTACACATACTCTCCAGTCACCATCAAAGTGACCTTACACAAACTAAATAAAGAACAACTCTTAATCCAGCTTTTTGATGGTATACGATCATTTGAACATGCTTATTTCAGGAAATGCTTTCATTTATTGTGCAGTCTCTTGACAAATATAACCATAATCACTGGTTTCTCCCTCTTGAACCTAATGCAACCATGAATGTGATTTGTACGACTATACGGCATTCGTTGTTAACCTCAAGGCTGTAACCAATACCCTATCCTTGGGGGACCAGTCACAGCAAAGAAATGACATCTCCTATTCAAATGCACATGAAGTTGCATGAAAAAGGGGGAGCATTGTTTTAGTAGCCTAAATACATTTAGGAAGTAACAGCACAGATAAGGAAAGTCAGATGGGGTCATGGGTTTTGTTTCATAAAACTTGTTATCAATTACAAGTAAAAAATAACTGTTCTAATCTACTGCAATAGTTAGTGGCATCTGATTGACTGAGAGCAGGTTTGTCATAGAAATGTAGCATTTGTGATTGTTAACAAGTTTCATGAAACAGGACCCAGACCGATGACCCCTGACCCAATGACCCCACAGGGACCTGTTGCATGGAAGTGCAATAAAAAGAAGATGAATACAGACCTCTTCTTGTTCCTCCTGCGCGGTGAGAGGACCCGGTTTCCTGACCTCATCCACGGGTCCTATCATAGGAGGGGGGCGCTCATGGCACAGAGGGAGTAGCGGAGGAGGCAGTGCATATTGGCTCTTGATCGCTCCAGGTACCTGGTGATAAAGATGGTGGAGCGTCTTAAACAGTGATTCATTTCCCAACATCATTTGATGGCATAGAGGACAAGAGAAACCCCCTTCTTTACATCAGACTTACATTTGAGGAACAAGCACATAAATTCATATAAGATATGGTCACCAAGCTTTAGATGCAATTCTTTCTAACCTTTGGGGAAGTAAATTTCAACACAATATTTGACAAAAATCGAATCAATTGTTAGGTTAAAGGTACTATGTCCCTTTTGCAGCCAACCTCAAATTTTGTAGAACTTTGCAGGAATTATGAATATGTCATGTATTTCCTATCTGTGAAATTTAAACCTTAGCAGTGTCCTAATATTCAAATTATGTAAGGAAACCCGTTTACTTGCTAGACTTTACCGCAGACACTATTGAGTGATTGACTGGCTTTTTTCTTCTTTGGTAATAACATACATAAAATGAGCCGTAAAGGGTCCATGAGCATTTGTCTACATCAATAGCCCACTTCTTGTGATGGCCAAAATTAAACTGATTGAATCTTTACACAGCATAAAACGTATGACCATTCGGTACAATGGTCTGAAAATCAAGACTATTACTTATTGGCTCTATAGCTCCTAAGTCGATTTGACAACTTATAGTCGTTATTTTCCCACTTGAAGACATTTTCAAGCCCCACCTTTTTAAGGGAAGTTCTAACTTAGTATTATCTTTAAAATGCCGTTGGAATTTAACCTTATCATTTTTTTTGGATGCAAATGGGACATAGTACCTTTAAAGTTAATGTTTGGGTTCTGGTTATGGAAATACTTCCAATGATATTAATTTTGAGTAATTCTGACGAGCTTGTTATGTAGTAAATGTAATTTAAATAGCCGCAAAAAATGCTGGAAATCGCATTCACAAACAAACAGCAGCTCTCAACTGAAAATCCAATACAAGTTTTGATCCTAGGAGGATGTATATATTGTTATCGCTGGACCTTGAATTAACTTGAACATTAAAAAAAAAACTTCAAAGGATGGATTGTGATGCATACGCCTGCTCTTTGTCAATACAACTATATCGAGTGAGGACCACAAAAATGACACAAAGTGACAATGTTTTTTCCTACCTTGATTACTTTGCGCCATTTACACTTCTCCTTCCAGGGAGGTCCATTCCTATGGATCTTGTTGATGAACTGGAGCTTGATGGCCTGCTGGTCCACCTTGCCCTGGAACTGATTGAAGATCTTCACCCGCTCTGTGTGACCTCCATTCTGGAATGCTGGCTGTAAGGTCAAAGGTTGAACAAAATTTTTATGTATTTTTTGTTCATTATAAATGAAAATTTATGATATCACAATTTTGACATGGTACAAGCTAACTATAAGATACTTGTTTGTCTAACTTGTCAAAGATAATAGCCACCGGATGTATTTACTCACTACGTAGATGCCTGCGTTAGACACACCTATGAACAGATTTCCACACAAACTTTTTTGGGAGCGAGTCCGGACTGCACTTTTTACAGTCTATAATGTATGAGCCATGTGCAAAAATCGTTTTCTTTCCACGTTTTTGCACTGACATTTAGCACATCTGTGTGACCTCCATTCCGAAATGCTGGCTGTAGGGGCCAAAGGTCAAAGGTCAAAATATGTTTTAATGCTTCTTTTCTTCATAAAACGGCAAGTGTTTATATCTTTTTGCAACAGTAGAATAGAATCATATCTAGACTGTACAAGATAACTGTGAAATAAGCAGAGAAGTTTGTGCAATGATTTACTCAAATAAATAAGTATCTGCAATTATGGATTGCAAAACCTCTGCTTTTCCTTTAACTAATGCTTTCCTTTCAATATAAAATTCAGACATAATCCAAACATGTGAAGAAACCTTACAAAGAATTTGGACCAAAGGGGTAAACTATTTCTAGTCACATTTGAAACATGAAAGCACAAACCAGAACAAGCCTTTTCATGTGACATTGTTACTTTAAATCTTCCCCATGGAAACAGAAAGAATGAGCAAGTTCTCTTTTTCTTTTTTTCAAAATTCACCAAAAGTTCAATATTTCTCCATCACTTACCAGGGCAAATTCAGGGTGGTTCGGACACATCCATCTGCCCGTGGGTAGGGAGGTTATAGGGGGGTTCATGCAGTCTCGATGGAACAGCAGAGGGCAGTAGTCGCACTGGAGAAGGGGAGCTACTCGGCATGTCCTGCAGCACAAATGAAACGTGGAAAGAAACGTTGAATGAAACGTGAACAGAAACGTTGAAAGAAACGTGGAAAGAAACGTTGAATGAAACGTGGAAAGTAACGTTGAATGAAACGTGGAAAGTAACGTTGAATGAAACGTGGAAAGTAACGTTGAATGAAACGTTGAAAGAAACGTGGAAAGAAACGTGGAAAGAAACGTTGAATGAAACGTGGAAAGTAACGTTGAATGAAACGTTGAATGAAACATGGAAAGAAACGTTGAATTAAACTACAAAGCATTAATGAATTGGACGTAACAATGGATATCAAGTGTTTTTCACACAGCAGTTTGAATCCTGCATTGAATGAAAGTTGTTGCATGTACATACTTGTTGAAATTAATTCGGCATTCTACATCACCTTGTATGAAAACAAGTAAATGTAACCTGTTGATTGGAAAACTTTCATGGAAATTAAACTAGTTCGTCACAGAGCAATAGAAGATCATTGATCAATTTGTCTTTTAAGATATATCTGTGTAACTTCTAGCTTTAAGTGCCCAAAACAACAAAATATGGTAAAAAAGAAGCCTAACAAAAACACTTTTTTTTTCTTCGCCAAATGTGTTTTTGAGAAAACAAACATTGGTTCTAACAAATCTAATCATGCGTTCAGAATAATATTCAGGCAGGTGGATTCCAAAGCTTGTTTCAAATGATATTCCCAAGAGACAAATTAACTTGCCCTGTACTTGTATCAATCGTTATAATGGCAATCTAAGGCGCAACACTAACATGCACCAAAGGACATATTGAATTTTACAGAAGGCTAATACATACAGAATGTAAAAAGTTCAATCCCTTCAACAACAAAAATGTGTAGAGCCTTGGGTCAATCTGTTCAAATGTGTGTCTAACGCAGGCTTCTAAATAGTAAGTAAATCCATGTCTATCCCAGTCATAGTGCGGTCAGGTGGATATTATCTTGGACAAGTTAAATAAACAAGTACATCCTTCCTGCTTGGAGCAAACCTTAGCTTGCCATCTCTCTAAAATCAACACAAACAAGCAGTCCAGTAAAGTGGATTACACAGAAACATTTATTCTGCCATAATTTATATCTCTGAGGATTAAGTAACATGCATGAAGCCAGTTTCCACATCAGGTGGTAAACTGTCGCAGCGTGATGAAAAGGGATAGATGTTTAGTCCGTATCACACATTTACAGTACCCAACACAAGTGAGTACACCCTTTTGAGAAATGTTTAACACTCTAATGTAACTCCTTGATGTGCTAGTCTGTTTTCATGGAAAAAATATGTTGTGCTTATCGCAAACAACAACACAACTCCTGACTTTTAAAAAACAATTTTAATTTTCACTTCACTGTTTTAACAATTGACTGCTGTAGTGGGAATTGGACTCAAATGAACATGAAGTTACCTCCCCCCTCCCCCTGCTTTAAAAAATGTATTCATCTGATAAGGCACTAAGGAAATGAAATCTAGTTAATCTTGCTCAGAGTACACTCTGAACTCATGAGTAAAGAAAGAAAAGCCACTTTCACACCATGGATTGTTAGCAGCTGTCTGCATGGGTGATAGCCCAACTTTAAACCCTTCCTCGAATCAGGAATGTAAGGTTTAACCTGTATCTGCATTAATCATGATTGTCATCATGAAGCGTAACTCTGTGAGAGTGTTAACACCTCTGAATTGACCTCCATGACCTGGCATTCAGGAAGTGATTTGTTTGTTTTCTTTTGGCTCTCTTCAAGTGGTCCCTACAAGTATTGCCTTGACTTCAATGTGAATTTCATGTACAGTTCTATCTGTTGGGGGAAACTGAACTTACTAAACTAAACTGCTTTTAAATAATACCAGGTCTAGAAAGATTACTAAGAAGTGTATTGTTCAGAATTTTGCTGCTTCCATTAACTGGAACTTACTTGTTACATGTGAAGCAGACTTTAGCTGGCAGCGGGATCATCATGTTATCCAATTCATGAGGCTTTTTGTAGTTCTTGGATAATTCTTCTTTCTTCTTCTTTTTTGTTGTCCCTGAACATAAACAGATGATGACAATACATGCTTTTTTATACAAGAACTATTGTTTACCTGTTTACATATCAGGAATTTATGTTTATATTGTAGACCCGACAAATGTTGTTCCTGTAATATGTAGCTTTCAACTGATATTTTGAGAATTTTTCAGGAGTAGATGACAGATGGCTATATTCACAATATTGTTAGTCTCCCGCAAGGCTCACTAGAGCAAAGCAGAACATCTACTGCTTCAAAGAAAGACTTTAAAAACACAAATAGAATCTGCAATAAGTTAGTCATTGCCAAATTATTATGTTGTGTTCAGGGGCGTTCCTTTAAGTATCATTGAAATTTCCTTGCAGGAGTTTCTGTGTACTTCTGTTCTCAACACGATTGCAACTCATGTCTATAAATAATATCAGGGACAATTTCACTATCCTCTCGTACAGTCCCAAAGAAGTCGGGTGCATATTACATACTAAGTCATTGTAATGATTGAATATCTCAAACGGTGATGGACAAAGCGATCATGATTTTTTTCCCTTCTTTTTAAAAACACTGCAAAGAGCTTCCCCCCTTTCAATAAATGGAACCATCTAAAATACATTTTCCTCATAAATAGTGGGCCATCTCCACTTACCTGGCAGGGGTTCATGCTTCATCATCTCCGGAGGGAGAGAGAACTGCTTGGGGTTCTGAATGGCCACTGCTTTGATGAGGTAGCTAAGAGGGTTTTCAAACTTGACGTAAACCTCCTCCTCCTCCTCCTTCTCCTTCTCATCTTTCTTCTCCTCCTCCGCTTCCATCGTTTCCTTCTCCTTGTCGACATCCATCTTCTCTTCTTCCGTTCCATCAGTCATGTTGGTGTTATCGCCCTCTTCGGGCGGCTCCTTTGGAATGATCCCAGCCTCAATTTGGGCCTCTCTGGAAATAGGAATAGATTTCATAGAATGCATGCTACGTTTGTGGCACACAGAAAAGGAGTTTAATGAAGAAAAAAAATCAATTCCTACAATATAAAGACAGGGATCATAACGAAGGGTATACAAATAATACACAGCAGTGAGGGCATTAGAAGGAATAACCCACACAAGGTACCTTTGGAACAGTCTAACACGCTTGTGGCAATAACCGAGGGTGTTTGGACTGTTTTGAATGGACCGATTGTGGGTAATTATACTAATACCCAAACAAAATGATGTGTATTGTTTTTTTTATAAGATGATGTTTTATAAAATTATGTTTTATAACAGGATTCTACTAATGACCGGTCATTAGCATTTGATAATGACCGTTCATTATCAAAATTACGTGTTAGGCAAAATAAATGCCTGGTCAAGTGTACACTCCCAACCAATCATTTATTAGGATCCATGTCATCATCTTATAAAAGGAGATAATCTCAGCAAAAGAACCAGTCACACTAAGTTCCCTTTAAAAATTTTGATAATTGATAAAGAAAACTTATGAAGTCCCACTTTGTGGAAACTGGTGTAGTTAACATAAGGTTGAAGCAAATCAATCAATTCCAAGTTTTGTGTGTAAATTTTTACAAAAATTTCATACTTATTCTATTACTGGTAGTTGTAATTTTAAGGTATTTTGCTGGTTAATGAGTTTTCCTTTCAATATGTGAATACTTACTTGTAAGCCTGGATCTGAGCCAGTCGCAAACAGGCCCTTCCCTCCCTCATCAGTCTGTCGTTCAGTCTATCATTGAGCCTCAGTGAGGCGGAGGTGGCTTGCTTCTCCTTCTCCTTGGCGGCGGCCGCACCAGCAGCAGCCTCCTTCTGCTTCTTCTCTCTCTCGGAGCGCTCCGCCTTCTCGATGGACTTGATGGTGTCCGAGAGGGTGATCTCTGTGTTCAACGGCTATATGGTAAGAGAGAGAGAGAGAGAGATACAGTCAACTGGACTATCGAACACATCTGCGAACAGTGCATTTTCCTTTCATTGACTTTCTTCTCAGCGAGTATAAAAGATGGAAATGGATACAGTCGACCATATCTGTAGCCACCTGTATATGAAGGCCACAAATCTCCGAAGAACTGCAGTTTTCTTTTTCATATAACACACTCTTCAATGAGCATAAAAGATAACCTGTATACAAAGACCATTTTTCATAGAGACTAATGGACTTTTCCCCTTGAAGGCATCGTTTAACAATGTTAATCTGAGATGCATGGCCCTACGTGTTATCAGTGTCTGTTTTATGGTGTAATATTAAAGCCCTAAAAAAATTGCGCTTCAAAATGATCAGGAAGTGCCTCAAAAAAGTAAAAATCTTTGAGTGACCGGTTTTACCATACTCATTTTCCCTAATAAACTGTTATAAAAACCGTTAGGAAAAAAAAAATGAAATTTTGATTTCCAATCATAAATATCTTGATAATCAGACAGGCAATCAGTTTGTAAAAGTCCTGGGTTCCTGACTGACCTAAAGGTTTATAATTATCATTGCAGCATGAGCTACATTGTAAATCCAGGAATTTGTTTCAGAATCTGAGACAAAGATACCCAATCCCTGTTACACAATAAAGGCCACTTATCTTTAACTAGTTAATACATAATTTACTATCTTGCCATACAAACCGAACCGAAACAAGCATATTCCCACAATCGCAACCACAGTTTCTATGTTGTGTCAACTGACAACAAAGAACAAATTTTCAATAACAAGCATATCTAATATAGAGAATTTATGGTAGATTCAATTATCGATACCATTGTCATGAATATTCATATTGGACTTGTAATTAAAATTCCATAAAATACAAAAATGAAGATGGACCCTGTTGAAGGAATTGTCACTGTAACAGTTCCATTCTACATTCAATTGACAAAGTAATTGACAACACGATGGTCAAGAGTGCAACACTGATTTGGTATATATATATTCATTTGAATTTATGTTGAATGCATACAGCACATTGACATCAAAAGCAGGCATTATGAGAACATCCCTGTATGAATATTTCTTAAACAATGACAAAAACACTTGAACACACCATTTTTCAATCTTTTGGGGTGAAATTAACATATGATATTAAAATGATGCAACAAATCTGTAAAATGTTCAACATGTAAACTGCCATCAATGAAGAAAACATGTTTATGATTTTCGTCTCCAAGGAACAGTCTCCTAGCTCGGCTACTACATTCTCTATGCACAGTAGAAGTATTAGTTACATGAAACTTGTTGAGGAATATGAAATCACCAAATCAAATGTGAAATAACATTAAAAAAATAATAACATTTGATCATATCAAATTGAAAATTGCAATCTTCTTCTACGTAAGGTTAGCTCATCTCTATGATCTTTGATATTTCACTATCACAAGATAAAGATTCAATCCTTTCATAAATGATAAGTTTATCATTCATTGCAAAATTCCTAGTGAAGCGGAGACCAAAACCAAAATAGAATGATCTTTGACATTTCCTTTTGGCGACTATTTTACATTTTAAAAAGAAAAATATATATTTTCTACATTTTGGCTGCTTTCAGTTTTAAGTAGAAATCGCTGAAATACAGTGAAGACCCATTTTTTTAAACCTCAACAAAAAATCTTTTACATGTATATTTCACTACAGTGGCTATGAGAGAAAAACAGAATAATAAATCGATCCTTTTCTGCATCTAGGTCGAGTTCAGCTTCACATAGAAAATTGCTCAATGCAGCAGAAACTCAGTATCTACCTAAATCAAATGATCTTTGATATTTCTCTATCGTGACTATTAGATTAAAAGGGAATAGAGAATCAGCATTTTACTAGTACTGGGAAACATTGTAACAGCACACACAAGATTTAGCCACGGGGAAAACCTCTTTTTTTTCACCACTGCATGAGGGAGTCGGGTATAATTGAATGCACTCATGTCATGCAATGATCAATGATTATGCCAGGATCTCGTGCATCCTGGCTAGTACCTTACTGGCATGCTTGGCCACCCCCGTGGAGGCACAATGGTTCGATCCATGATATTCAATCTTACCTGGGGTGCTACTGTGCATCTGTGGCACAACCATTCTCCAGAGGGTAGATCCTCTTCTGATATGGGAGGGTTACTGCAGAAAGAGAGGTAGAGGGGGGAAAAGAGAGAAGAGAATGTGGAAAGTGAATTATATCATATCAGAAAACTTGAAAGTCATACCTGAGGGAAACTTGGATACATGAAACAATTCACATTAATATGAAATATATTATTGCAACTAGCCACATTGATAAATCCTAGAGTAAATTCATTATTGCACAGGCATCTAACTCTAATGATTTTCAAGTGCAAGTAAAGATGAAAAATAAATAAATGAAATAAAATGACCATGCATACCCCATTATGTTCATTTATAATGCATTAACTTCACAAGTGGGTTCCAAGGATAAATTGAAGTGCCAAAAAGCCTTTATAATGCAAGGCTTTTGTTGCAAGCGCCCGGTGAACTGCTATCTCACATAATTCATAATTTATATATGTCAGGTTGACATTGAAATAGAATTCAAGCTAGGCCTTGCCGGCATGAAAAAAGAACTCTTATTATCATGCTATAGTTGCAGGGCAACTGTTAAAGTATTTGACTATGTTGATCTGCTGAAACTGTGAGAGAAAGAAGGATTATTACTAGTAATTCACATCATTTTGCATGGAATTTATACTTTATACCCTTCTGGCTCCTTAGCAAATGATTTACACTAGGACGAAAATTGAGACTTTAAACTCTTCTTCTTCATTGTACACGTACAAAAGCAATGTCATGCCATAGTCTCAGTCCCTTGAATAGGACTTAACGTAGTAAGTCATCTGGTTGTTATCTACAACACTAAATGCTACCTGTACTTGTTTTCATAGAAGTCAGGTTAAGTAATATCGATATTGTAAAGTACAACGACTTCAGTGAAAAATATCTTCACATAACATGCATACATGTACGTGTACATGAATGGATGGATGGATGTATGAAAAAATGGGCCAGGAATTTGACCTAGAGGCTGGGAGCACAAGGCTAACAGTCTGTAGCGATTGACCCCATTGGGCTTCCAATGACCTTCTGAATATCCAATCCATTGGTTAGGAGCCCAACAAACTGCAGTCTGCACAGTAGATAGATGTGCATGTTTGGTATACATGTACAATGACCCTGCCCACCAAGTTTCATGATTTTTTGTGAAATTTTTTCAGGAATAATTCGAGCATCCATGTGAATTTGTTTAACCTTATTTGTTTATTGCATCTCCAAACATGTGCCTGCTAAAGAAGGCTTGAAGAAGAAAATAAATCTTCAGATCTGTTCATATTTCAGGAGTTAGAGGATCATGAAGTTTGCCAAAGGTTTACCCTCATTTGTTTATTGCATCTTCAAAGCTGTGCCCGCTAAAGAAGACCTGAAGAAAAAAAAATACTTAGATCTCTTCACACAATGAATGCATAAAACTTTTGCAAATTTCAGGAGTTTGAGGTCCTGAGGTTTGCTAAAGGTTTATACTGCATGGCTGGATCAGACCACTGAATTGCTGCTATTCGTAACAGTTTCTCGCAACAAAAAACAAGCATATTCAACAATCTGCAAAAGTTCAGGATTTGATTATACAGCAGGATTATGTGGTTGAATACTCTTACCAATGTGGAATGATCAAACGATGGCCAAAATCCACTCAATCCATGGCGAATGTGATTTCTTTTCCTTCTAAACTTTCATTTGTAGCATGTGACATGTACATAAACAATAATGGACTTGCAAGTTAAATACAGAATAAAACGATATAAACTACCGTAATATACAACCTCATATATAAACAACCAAGAGATGAATGCATTTGTACCAATTGACCCTCTGTTATTGCCCTGAACACACTAGAAACAGTCGTCCATTTATTGCATTTCAAGGGCAATTATGCCACCGTGGTTGATAAAGACGTCACAAATGCAGACTCCTCCAAATGTACACAGACAATACAAAGAGGTGTGGAGTTGTTCAGTGATAACAGATGACTATACATTTGTTTCAAATTAAGAATTATTTCTTATAAATTATCATTACAGTGCAATTCGCATACAATGTGCTTTGTGCATAATTTCTAAGAGAAAAAAGGACAATCCTTCACCATATCCCATAATACAATGCAGAAAATCCACCTTTACAAACTAAAAACTTACAAATTATCCTCCATTTAGCACTTAGATAACATCCTTTTTTTCTCTCCAAACAATCAGTTTTGGTTGAGTTCTACATTACCTCACACTAAAACATGTTACAATAATCAAATCAATGGAATTTGTTGATTGAACAGATCTTTCTATGGTAGCCTCGAAGAAAGAAAGAAAAAAGCATATTCTGCCCATCCACCCAATAATAAAGTCTCTGCAGTCCATAGTGTGAGGTCTACCTTACATTAAAACATGATACACTAATCAAATCAACGGCATTTGTTGATTGAACTGATCTTTCTATGGTAGCCTCAAAGAAAGAAAGAAAGAAAAAAGCATATTCTGCCCATCCACCCAATAATAAAGTCTTTGCGGTCCATAGTGTGACTTCCTCCCGGCAGAGTCACCAAGATCCCTTCCCAAGCGCAACTAATATCGTGAGTCATCAAACATTCGGTAAGTCTCATTGCCGCAGACGAAAGAATCCTCATCTAATAAGAACATGTAGGGCTACTAGTTGGCTGGAGCATTAGATCGCTGATCAAGAATGATAGACAGACGCTCCATCTCCCGAGGAAAAAAATGTTCCGGACTTCATCAAGTATTAAGGATAGGAGCCTATTCCTTATCGCCACAGCTTGCTGGCAAAGCTTTCAAGACGTTTTTTCCACGAGAGAGTTTAGCATGGGGAAGTTGTACGTCAACATTGAGAAACGGTCATATTAGAGTCAATGGAGTGCGTTTGATAATTCATGAATCTCAAGAACTCTTTTACACTCTCAACTCTCAAGTCTTCTTGATTTTTAAGGCATTTTCATCTCCAAAGATCTGTTAAATACAGCCCCTATTGGTGTCACTTCATTCAGTAAACAGTGGCTACAAAAGTAGTACCAGCAACATGGAAAATTACAAAGCAGGCCTTCTGTGTATGCCCTGTATAATAAATGGCACACAGCGTAAATCTATTTTATCATAATTAAAAACAAACCTTATTATCTAAATGGTGGTTAATATCTTTTTGATAATGCTTATCATTCCAATCACTGCACCACAAGAAACAATGAATATTTTATTTGTCTTTTTGTTTTGAATGCTAATCATAAAATGGTTAGCTTTATGATAGCATCAACAATGACCTGCATGTTCACTGATCAGCAATTAAATACCAATTAGTGATGATGCTAAATGATGTAAACAAAGGTTCAGTGAAGAAAGCAGAAAAAAAATAATTCAAAGCATTAGCACAAACAGTGTACATGTAATGTATGTCACTTTTTTTGGGGGGGGGGGGTACAATCAGCACATGCCCCTCTTTTAAAAGACAGACAAAAACTAAAAGGGACCAGAGACATGATGATATAAAGAAAATTATTAATTTTTGTTTTGCTTGCTTGCTTCTCACAAGAGATTTTTCAGACTTGAGCCCCCCCCCCCCCCCCTGAATAATACTTGATCTACCCCTAACTCAAAGTAAGATTATCTACTGTTTAGGGAGAGCTGACATGAGTGCATCGGACGTGCCAGTGCTGGAGGTGATTGGGTATACTTAATGCTCAGTTTGGGAAGGGATACCTCCTCGGCAAATGTTTCGTCTCTGGGCCTGCATAATGCATGCATGTACAAACATTTCTGGCGTGTGTGTGCAGGTGTTTGCTGCCGACTTTCAGGCAAATAGTCGGAGCTACTTCTTCCAAGCTTTCATGCCTTGCCTTGTTGGAAGAACAGAAACCTACATCATTATGTACAGCACAATCCATACCAGAAGTACCACCTGTATGCAGTAGCAACACTACTACCTACACACCGATTTTGCTCACAAACCTACAGTATCTGCATGCTTCTCTTCCTCTTATCAGTTATATTATGAATGAAGGAGAAATTATTCATACTATTTCATTAAAAAAAATTAACACTCCAATTGCCAAAACATTATCAAAAAATGAACTTGTCGACTTGTCCAATATATGGAAATGCTGTTGGTGAAATGCAGGATTTTTAAAGGATAGTATGTGTACATGTAAAACTCATGCTCCGGTTAAACCTGCTTTTCGGACAGTTTTTTACACTAACATTATTCCTTCCTGTCACTGCAACTCTGGATCTACATGTAGCTCTAGAACTGAGCCATGTTTTCGTGTTTGGGTACCTTAAACATCAGATTACGTAGCTTTATTGTAAAAGTAAAGTATTGTTAACTACTTTTATATCCTTTTGTGTGGAAGCCAAGCAATGTTTGCAATAAATGAATGAAACAACTTTAAATCCATTACTACAACCCTACAAAATAAAGCCTGATGTAAATGTCGCGGGAGCAACTGATTTTCAGATAAGATTCTTTGTAGCGCTATTTTGGGTCAAATTTTGACCATAAGCACTGGAGATAGAAATCAATTGATCAATCAGACTTCCCATGCTACCCATTGCAAAGAAATGAGAGAATGATCAAAATGTCTGCCTGGCTGACACACGTTTCCCCTACATAATTGGGCGAGAGTTTACACTTTAGAGTTTAGGTAGCACCCCATGCATGTGTGTGCGCACTTCACATTAGCACATGTGGATAGAAAAGAATGTTTGGTGAGTGACAGGTAAAGAAATTAACATTCAAACAAAATGATGACAATGCAACCTGCAATACATTAGTATGCTAAGTTACATGTCTGTCCACTTGATGACCTTCAGGTGTGACCTTGATGACCTTCACAAAGTTCAATATTTCTTGAATCATTCATTACTACATGCATGTTTATGCCCATATTGTACAAGGATATCTTGTAAAATGCAGCAATCAGGCATCAATAAGTGTTTTTCTTTTCATTCCTCAAAATACAAACTATTTTATCATTCAGCAGGAAAGAACATCCACAACTTCTGACACCATACAGTGTACATTATATGGGCATGATAGGCTCTTTGTATACATAA